CCTTTGAGCTTCGTAGTTTCTCTCTCTAAACTCACACCAAAAAACGCGCTCTCTCTCTCTCTCTCTAGATTTTTGTTCTCTCTCTCTCTCTCTCTCTAGATTTTTGTTCTCTCTCTCTCTCTCTCGATCGAAGAAGAAGAAGAAGATGAAGGGTGGATATGGAAGTGGGGGGTCGGGAGCAAAGATCGATAGGAAAGTGGTGGAGAAGAATAGGAGGATTCACATGAAGAGCTTGTGCTTTAAGCTCTCCTCTCTCATTCCTAAAGATCATAACTTCCCAAAGGTAATTAAGATTCTTAATCATACTAAAATTTGTTAATCATTTGATTAAGGGTGTAGAATGAACTATATATGTACGTAATGTTATTTGTTTTTGTCTTCTCATTAATTAATCAATTACTCTAATAACAATAAATTGTTAATGATTGGAATAAGCATGTACGTTGAGCTATACAACCGAAGGCTAGCTAGTCACATATAATTTCTAGTACGAGATCTTGTTTACTCACCGGGGTTTTCTTAAAATTTCTTATTATTTATGAAAGACTGATTTGATAGCTATTGGGACAAAATTTGTCCAAAGATTTTTTTTTTTTTCTCAATCTAGTAAATGCTTGTACTTTGCACAAAACAAGCTGGTGAAGTTCATCGGACTTGGTGACTTTTCACGGAATAATAATTGGCATTTTGCCAAGAAAGAGCTAGATAAAAGAGAATGGAATTTGAAAATTTTGAAGTGAGGTTGATAAAGTTTGCCCATGTGAGGATTTATTAAAATCTTTGATTTTTAAATGGATGATTATAATTTATTTTGAGTGCAAATTAAGAATAAGTATAACTCATAAAAATACGATGAGTTTGGATGTAAAATAAATCATAACTATACACGGGATAATTAATAATTGAGATAGAAAATAACGGTCTCTCCTGAGAGAGTTCCAAATTCTTTATGACTTGGTACACCAGTAGCGATTACTTTCAGCACGTGGGCCCACTTTTAGGGCAACAAGACATTTCTTGTGAGATTGACAGCTAATATTGGTCCCACCTTTTCTCAAAATGATGTCATTAAAACATTTTTTATGAAGTCACTTACATAAAAAAATTATAAAATTAATTTACAAAACTCTTAATTTTGTATAATTGTAATAGATTGGTACCATTTGTGCATAATGAATGAAACAGTCAATTGCTTTGTTGTTTGAAGTATTGATTCCTCAAATACTTAACACCAACATGGTGATTAATTACAAATATAATTTTTCTTTGTTTGGTTCCATGGAAGTTATAGATTATTTCGTGCACTATATTTTCTGAAGACACGATATGATATCTTATCTAGATTTGTCGGACCACTACACGAAACGTGGGATAATGAGTCATCGTCTCAATCTATGATATCATCTCAAAGTTTGTTGCCTTGTTGGTCCACAAAATCAGCCACAAATATCAACTTGGTCCCATTTTTGTTATCCAACTGAAGAATTTGTATCAAGACAAGGGGAGCAATTGAAATTTGCTAGCAACCCTTTATCAACTATAGTTATAAAACGCAAACATTTTTCATCAAAAAGAGCATTATCTATGAAATATATTCTAACATATAACTTGATACTTATTTTCAGGATGCGTTGTCGCAATACGATCACCTGGACCAAGCTGCAGACTACATAAAAACCCTGAGAGAGCGAATCGAAAGTCTGAAACAGAGGAAGAAATGCGCAATGGGCAAAGAAAAATATAAAGAAGTCGGCGGTGAGATGTCCAATGAGTTTGGTTTGCCTCTGATCGAGGTGAGGCACCAAGATTCAATCTTGGAGGTGATCCTGATCACTGGACTCAAGAAGAGGTTCATGTTCTATGAAGTCATTGGGGTTTTGGAGGAAGAAGGTGCTGAGGTCGTCAATGCTAGCTTCTCAGTTGTAGGAGACAAGATCTTTTACACTATTCACTCACAGGTGACTTCTATTGTCCTTGAGAGTTTTTGTTTAGTACATCTTTATGAACGGTTAACCACACCCTTCCTACTTGTTTCCCACCAACTTCTCTTGGTTTTAACTCCGGTCCTACTTGTTCCGTTGGCCGTACTCTTACCACCTTTCATAATTGGTGTATATTGTGGCCTTAATTGCACATGTTAAAACCATCTCTTTCGATTATTCTCTTGTTTTACCATCGATACGAGGAATCTATAATCTCCTATGAATACACTAATTTCTTATCCTATCTTTTAGTATATATCTACAAAATAACCATAACATTTTCATTTTTGCTATTCTTATCCCAATGTATTTTGTGTCTTTCGTTGCACATGTTTCTAAATTGTCCGACATTCTAATCCATAAAGTATTGTTGTCTTACAACTATTTTATAGAACACCTTCAAGTTTCATAGATATCTACAGTCACGTGGGACTTTTTTATAAAGACTCTTTCATTTTAACCATTCTAATTTCATTGGATAAATAAATATCTTTATGACCCTAATATTAATTTCCCAAATTTTGTGATACTGATGAAAACTGTACCAATTATGTGGTTGCAGGCTATATCATCAAGAATTGGACTTGAGGCTTCAAGGGTATCTGAAAGACTTAACGAACTCATACAGCAATAACTCTAGTTTTTGTTCACATTTAGGGACAAAAACACTTAGTTTGGGAGGTTTTTTGGTGTTGGGTGAATGTGAAGAAAATCTTTTTTAGATGATGTAGACTATGCATATGAGAGCAAGGGACAGCTTGTAACTTTTGTAGGCTGGTGCTTCAATGTTTTTTGTCTCGTAATCACTCAAGACTATACCTAGCTGCATTGTGAAGGTATGGAGGTAATTGTGTGGTCTTTTTGGTCCATGAATGACTATTGGGAATTTTTTTTTTTTTTTTGGGTATGTTGCATTGCTGGATTTGAGCTTCTAAAAATAAAAACTGCACGTATGACGTAACATAGAGATTGAGATAAAACAATGTCATCCATACAAATCAAAGAACAAGTACATTCTCCCCTTAAGTAAGCACACACTCTACAATATATGTATAATCTAAATAATCAACACACTTTTCCCCCAAATCATCCATTAAACTTTAATAATTTATGGGTTCTTCGCTTTTATCCTTAGCTTTCTTGCAATCTGGCTAGCTCTAGGATGAACTGGCCTCTTGCTACCATCACTCTGCTCAACTTCAACCCAATTAATAACCTTAAGTATCAATGACTGTGAGCAAAATGATTTGTGCCCATCTCCTCCTTTCCCTTTCTTAATCCCTCCTCCTCCTTCAAGTGCCATATCCAAGAACTCCATGAACCAGCTCACAGCTTCGTTCTCCACCTCTTTCGCAAGCTTGACTGAGCTCAGATATGACTTCTTGCTCGAAGATGACTTCTTGCTTGATTTCGGTGAAGTGTTCACTATTTCTTGTAGGACGGGTGAAGTTTCTTGACACGTTGTAGCTTCTTGGATCTTCTCCATGTCGATCATCGCTTTTGAGAGTTCTTGATGGAAGGAGAGGAATTGATCGATGGAGGTTGAGGGGGACGTGGGTTTTGCTTGGCTCGTCAAGTCTGAGAACATCCTGCAGGAATTTAGAAGAGATTATAAGAATTTTGAGCCGTGTTTTTTCACTCCAAAATAAGAGAGAGGAGAGTAAAAGATAAGAAAAGTAGTTACTTGAGAATTCGAACAAGAGTTTCTGTTGCTTGTGCATCTCTAAGTGCTTGCAGAGCTACTTTCTGAGCTGCTTCTCTGTTCTGTATAGCTTCCTGAATCCCAGAGATTATGTTATAATATCTATGGAACATGAAATTCTAACTCTACTAAGCAAAAATGTCGCTTCATGAAACACACTGGCATTACTAAGCAAATATTACTGGTTACTGATAAATACAGGTGCCAATAAATCCAGGATAAATGTTTGTATCTAAGATTACTGATAAATTCATAAAACAAGTCCCTTCTATGTGAGGATAGAGGCTTCGTTGTTTATGCCCACTCTATGCGATTCCTAGGAAAATATTATCCGTGACTGCTAATTTTACAGCATAAGTTACTGCGTATGTACTTGGAAATATTAAATTCAGGTGCCATTGTATCCAGGATCAATGCTAGTATGTAAGGTTACTGATAATTTTAGAGCAGTTACTGGCTATGTAGTTAGAAATATAAGTAGCCCTGTTGAAGGCAAACTAGAAGTGCAGCTTCATGAAAGACAGACATTTTACTGATAAATTCAGTTATGTGTAACTGATAAGTTCAGAGCAGTTACTGGCTATGTACTTAGAAATATAAGTAGCCCCATAGAAGGAAAATTAGAAGTGCGACTTCATGAAAGACAGGCATTTTACCGATAAATGCAGGTACTGCGGGCAAGTGGAAGACAATTTTCAATTGCAGCGGACGAAGAGATGAAGCACGCTAGCATATTAGATCAAACACATTTTCTTTTATGACTAAATTCAGGTTCTGAGACTCCAATTTAAGCAAAGTTAGACTACATTAATGAAAAAAGAGAATGAAGCACGCTGGAAAAAATAAGATAAAATACGAGATAAATTCAGGTAACAGAATGCGACTATGATAAACTGAAACTAACATAAGATCAGCACATATGTCAAATCAGATATAGGCAATAGAACTAAGCATATAGATTTCCAGTTGAAACACGCTGACATGATCACTTTGTCTGCATGCTAAAGAAAATATTATCAACATTACTGATAAACTCAGTACTGAGATATCATCGTTAAGCACAATGGACCAAAATTCAGAAGAAGGCGCAGCATTCAAACAGAAGCAAAATTGTCAGAACTTAAGTGTTGACTTTTTGGCTTGAATCCGAAATAGGTAGGACCCATTTCAAATCTCTTCAATATCAATTTCTGATTATAGAATGACAGCAGACCCTTATTTTGAACAAAGAGTCAAAGAAGAGATTTGATTTGATTGGGGTCACTCTCACTTGTGGGTCCTCCTAATCAATCTCCCTCTCTTGTCTTCTCAGAGAGATTTTTATGATATCTGAGACAGAGAGCTACATAAAAGAGAGCTCTCTCAAAATTTTTGGATGTGTGTATTGAGATTGAATATAGTGAAAGCCCCCTCTTGCCGTGGACGTAGATCAATTTGATCTAACCACGAAAATATTGTGTGTTTGTGATTGTCTCTTAGTTTTTTGGTTTTGTGTTTAGTGTGTTATCTTTGGTACAACAGATCAGACCGTTGCGGACCGCTGAAGGCTTCTTAACTCAACAAACTAGTATCAGAGCTTCTCGGTTCTAGGACAGTTTTTAATCCTCCATAATGGCTTCTGTGAAGTTTTCGGTGTCGATCTTTGATGGCCAGAATAATTTCGGCCTATGGAGGATAAAGATGAAGGCTGTTGCGACGTGAAGGCACGGTTAAAGCTATCGATGAGAAATACCCAGAAGATATGATTAGTACCGAGATCGAAGAGATGGACGAAAAGGCTCACAACGCCTTGCAATTGTCACTATCCGACAATGTGCTTCCTGAAGTTGCCGATGAGAAAACAACAGCGGGGTTGTGGTCAAGTTCGAAAGTCTCTACTTGAAGAAATCTCTTACTACGAGATTATACCTAAAGCAGCGGCTATACACATTGAAGATGAAGGAAGGTACACCCATTCAGAAACACCTTGATGAATTTAATAAAATTGTTATAGATATGAAAAAACTGGACTCTCATTGTGTTGTGTTCCTTGCCTGGCTCTTATGAAAACTTTGTTAACTCTATGTTGTATGGAAGAGAATCCATAAGTCTTGAGGATGTGAAGGCAAAACTTTGTTAACTCTATGTTGTATGGAAGAGAATCCATAAGTCTTGAGGATGTGAAGGCCTCTTTGAATTCTGCTGAGTTGAATCCATAAGTCTTGAGGATGTGAAGGCCTCTTTGAATTCTGCTGAGTTAAGAACAAAGTTGAATGGGAAAGGTAGAACGAAGACCAGAGAGGGTGATAAAGGGCAATCCAGAAATCATTCAAAGTCCAGGTCAGCCCAAAACAAGAGAAACATATGGAGTGTTTCTACTGTCACAAGAAAGGGCATTACAGGTCAGAATGTTATGCTATAAAGAAGAAAGACAATCAGCGTGGTGAAATCTTAGATTCACTAGTTATTGATGTTTGAGAATTCAATCCAAGGTGAAGATTTTTGGCTTGAATCCAAAATAGGTGGGACCCATTTCAAATCTCTTCAATATCAATTTCTGATTGTAGAATGACATCAGACCCTTATTTTGACTTTTTGAGCAAAGAATCAAAGAAGAGATTTGATTTGATTGGGGTCACTCTCACTTGTGGGTCCTTCAGGAATCAATCTCCCTCTCTTGTCTTCTCGGAGAGATTTTTACGATATCTGAGACAGAGAGCTACATAAAAGAGAGCTCTCTCAAAAAATTTGGATGTGTGTTGTATTGTGAGATTGAATATAGTGAAAGCCCCCTCTTGCCGTGGACGTAGATCAATTTGATCTAACCACGTAAATATTGTGTGTTTGTGATTGTCTCTTAGTTTTATGGTTTTGTGTTTAGTGTGTTATCTTTGGTACAACAGATCAGACCGCTGCGGACCGCTAAAGGAACGCAACATCAAGTGTTGATATTACAAAGTAGAGCAAGATGATGCAACATCAAAGATTAACAAGGACTAAAATTCAGAGAACATGCAACAAACGAACCAAGTCTATTTTTGACACTAATGGATGAAATACCAGAATGAAAGCAAGCTGACATACTACAACAAATATTTATCTTATGGACAAATTCAGGTATGAGGTGTCATGTTAAGAAAAATTTAGCCAACATCAGATATCTTTAGATGGACTTTAAAATCATATAATGGGCATATCCAAGCACACACTGGCAAAACTAAGCAAATAACAAATAAATCAGGTCATAGGATACCGTGCATAACAAATATTTATCTTATGGACAAATTCAGGTATGAGATGTCATGTTAAGAAAAATTTAGCACAAATTCAGGTATGAGATGTCATGTTAAGAAAAATTTAGCCAACATCTGATATCTTTAGATGGACTTTAAAATCATATAATGGGCATATCCAAGCACACTGGTAAAACTAAGCAAATAACAAATAAATCAGGTCATAGGATGCCGTGCATAACAAAATGAAACTCGCATAAGATTACTAAATGGATATTTCAAATCGAAGCACACAGGCATTACCAATTGCACCTCACCCAGGAAAATTTATTGGTTACCAATAAATTCAAGTACTGAAATGAAACCTTTAAGCAATAAAGGCAGTGACATAATATTTGCAAAAGAGGAGAAGAGATGAATGTATACCTTCTGTAATGAACTAATCTTTCCCGGCAATTGATTTATACTTCCATTTGACTTCTTGGATTCTTTAACAACAGGAGAGCAAACTTCCATTCTCCCACTCCGCAACCTGGAAGTACTCTTCACACTCTTCTCCTGCAACAAAAAAAAAATCTAACATCAAACTTTATAATCAACTAGATCATCTCAAAATCCACAAATCTCTTCAACAACCTACACTGGTCAAGGGACTCATCGGCACCATCTTAGGAATCCTTGAAAACGCACAACTCTTCCTTGCTGATCCAAAGCTCGCATCTTTCTGATCTTCCTTCTTCAAAGAAGCAAACCCATTAACGGAAGATCTAAAACTCAACTTTTTGGGGGTCTTCTCCTCGAAATCCAGTGTAGTGGGCTTAACCAACAAAGGCGAATTGGGCCCTATACCCACATTCTCAGAACCCCATGAGCCTCTTCTATGTGCAGATGATTTCCTAACTGAACTCTCCTTAATTCTTACAATTGGCTCTGGGGTTCCCACTAATGGGTGTCGACCTGGGATTAGCTTGGCCCCGACGATGAATGGAACAGGGGATCCAGGGTTCAAGCGGTCAATATAGATGAACTGCCCGAGTTGGATTTTGTTGCTCAGAACTAAGTCATCTTGATCAAAGGGGAGGCTGACATAGATTGAGTGGGAGGAGTCCGAGACTTTAATGTAGAAGCCATGTTTTGGGTAGAGGTCCTTGTCATCGAGCTCGGCAGGAACAATGTCAGTGACCTGGAGAAGCGCACTCCGGTGGTCTCCGATGGGTTTTGGGGCGCTGGTATTCATGGCTTCGAGGAGTTTTAGGAGGACTCCTGGTGCTAATGCTGCCATTGTTGTTGCTTTGTTTAAAGAAAAAAGAAAGAGTTAAAATGTAAGGTAAAAAACAAGTATAAAATTTTATTTTTAGATCAGTATAAATTGAATGTGTACAGTACTCTAATAGACTACTATTGAATTTCAAATTTGTTTTACTTACCCCGTCACAAGAAAGCACCAAAAAGGCTTAAGATTTCAACAAGTTGGGCATCATCCAATTAATTTTAGATCCATGATTTTCCTCAAAAATAAAGAAATAAATCACTGGTAACAATGTAATTGATCACCTATTGAATTTAGGGGGAAAAAGTTATGATGTGAGAAAATTTTGTAAAATTTGAAGTCCTGGCTTAAGTAAATTGAACATCTATAAAGTAAACTAATACATTAAACTACCTATTGAATTTATTTATAAATTCTACGAATCACGAAATCACAAAAAATGGTTAGATTGCAACAATTTGGGCATAATTCAATTCATCTTAGAAATAATATATTCTTTGAATTTCCTCCAAAAATGTGAAAACACGAAATAATTACTGATAACAAAGAAGCCATGAAATGATTAAGAAAAAAGAAATTGAGCACCCATTGAATTCTTTTAAAATTTCGATTTTCACATCCTCAATCAAGAAAAAGTTTCGCTTAGGGATTAGAATTCAAATTAGTAACAAACCCATCAGCGACTTAAATTAACTACTATATTTTCTTCTTCTTTTTTTTTAAAATTAAAAGGACAACCATGAAAATAGCCCACGATCACAAAATTATTCAAGAATATCCAGAAATTATAACCAGTTAGAAAACTACCTCTAACTCAGCAGATTTCTCCTTCAGATGAATCCAAATAGGCAAAATACAACTCAAAAGTTGCACCAAAAGACCATAAATAGATCCGCCTCCTATACTCCACTCAAGAACTGGAATATCTTTGAGAATAAGATAAACCAATCTAAGAGAACCCAGAAACGAATCCAAGAAACCAGCAATTCCAAAAAAAAAATCCCTATTTAATAATTAATAATAATTGGGTAATGAGAGGAGAATTTTTGGTAACTGCCAGCTAAAGAGAGTGAGAGAGAGGTCCCCTGTATCCGCTCCCCACTCTCTCAAACGGTTAAGGCTTGGGATTTCTGAACGTTGAGCAACGGTCAAATAGATTTTGAATTTAGTGAAATGTCCCTAATGCCCTTTTACTAGTAGTCACTTCTTTGGTTGAAGATATGGGCTTTTTCTTTATTGTATTCGCCAGATGTGGTCTTTCAATTGGGCTGGGCTTGGGCTTCAATGTGTAATAAATTAGTTGATTAATTGAAATGATCACCCACCGTGTAAACGAGGGTTATTTTGCTCTTGAGAAAGCATAGCCCTGTTTGTTAGATTTGATATGACTCTCTCATTACTTTATGATGACACGTATATTGAGCTATGATCACATGAAATAGGATTCTGATTATATGAAACTTCATGGATACCATATAATTGAGATCATACCTTGTATGAGTAAACGGTTAAATGGATTGGTAACAACTAACTTGTTGATTTAAATATACAACTATAAATCAGAATGTTCCTACCACATCTGCAGGATATTTTTTTTTCATATTTAGGCTAATCAATAATTAGATCCGGCAACCCACTGAAACCGGACGAGGTTTAAATGTAGCCCATTTTTGATCTACTTTGTTTTTGGGAAAGGCTAGGCTAATTCTGACCAACTTTTTCTAGTTCATTTGAGTCGTCCCCTACCCCAAAATTAGCTATGGCTGATTAGGAAATCATACAAGTTCGGTCTTATTTTTGTTGGTATGCCAAACAAAGCATTTGTCTATCTAACTTAGTCTGAACCGACAATCATGAATAAGGACATGACTACAAATTTTCAAGGCTGTTGGCTAAGTAGATACTTTAGTGAGCTGATCGTACAGCGCTCAATTTTCTAATACATTTGGCTTCACATTGAACTTTACTCCCCCTTGAATGAATTTATATATAACTGGATGATGATATCAATTATTGGAGTAATCAAGTCACATCTCTACTATAGGAAATAGAATTATCTTTAGGCAGTGTTTATAAAGGTGAAAGCTTCACCTTCATGGAATCAAATGTCTTTTCTTGTATATAAGTGAGGCAAACAGAAGCTCGCAAATCACATGAAGCCAGCAAAAAGGCTAGAAGAAAGAACAACCGCGCACATATAAGAAAAATAATGTTAGGGGCACACCCCCTAACACCCCACATGAGATTTTAAAAATTTTAAAATCCCATATGGGGCCCGGTTTACTGAAACGATGGGAGAGGGGGGTGTGGTTGGTGGTATGGTAGGGGGTGTGCCCCTAACACCACTCATATAAGAAACAATCATGAGGAGAGTAACATGTCAAAAAGTCCTTCATTCTTAAGTATTAGCTTGTCAATATAGACTCCACACAGTGATGGTGGGGCATGGAACAAATAATATTTGTGGCATGATTTGCACGTTTAGGTACGGGATAAGTTCCATCTCGATAAGACTTAAATAGTTCTCTAAGACTAAGTGACGAGCCATAATTACTACGTATTATGATATGAGTTCTCGACACTTGCTTAGGGGTGTCAGAAAAGCCTGCGGCCTGGGCATGGTCCCAACCCGAAGAAAGCCCGAAAATCGGGCCTGGGCTGGTTAGCCGGTGCCTGACCCCTTGCATGGTCCCAACCCGAAGAAAGCCCGAAAATCGGGCCTGGGCTGGTTAGCCGGTGCCTGACCCCTTCTGGTACGTGGGGGCTCAGGTTGGTTAGCCAGCGCCCGACCCGGCCTGGGATGTGGGGGCACCGGGGTTCTAAGAGCATATGCACGTGTTTAATCTAAAAATATAGTTAAACTTGATGATATCGAAATTCGAACTATCACCAATTCTATGGGATATTTAAAGCCTACCAAATAAATAAACTAACTTTATGTTATATTTGATGTGGTTTTTGTTATTGTAGTATATTTATATTTTACACACACACACACCTCGAAGTATATGTACTTGTATATACTTATTAGGGTTTCTACATCAAAACCATCTTTACTTTTACCTAAATTGACACTTACCACCTTTAAAGTTTTGTTGTCATGTAAACCACATTTACTTACTAATACTTTTATTATGCCACACCTTTTTTTACTATTCACCCATGACAAAATCAAATATTCTCATTTTACCTTCATCTTCTTCCTTCCAACACATAACCCTAACCCTAGTCTCCTCCATCCTCCTCTTCTACAAACCCTAACCCTAATCCTAAACCATAGACGTCACCCCCTCAAAATCCTAGTCCTAATGCTTGGCCGCCACCTCCCCCAAACCCCTAACTCTAACCCTAACCCATGATCACCATCTCCCCCAAGCCCTAACCCTAATCCTAGTTCCCACTTGGTAAGGAATGGGAGAGTGGGAGGTCAGGAAGGAAGAGGGAGGACGAGAAAGAGGGGGAGGGGAGCTGGGGGATGAGGAAGAGGAAAGATGGGAAAGAGGAGGATGAGGAGGCTAAGTTTGAGCTTTATGATGAAGGAGGTGAAAAAAAACGACGAGGATAAAATAGTCATTTCGCATATTTTTATAGACATGTTAGCAAGTAAAGATGGTTTACATTGAAAAAAACTTTAAATGTGGTAAGTATCAATTTGGGTAAAAGTAAATATTGTTTTGATATAAAAACCCTACTTATTAGTATATTGTATATAATCATATGCTGTATATAAGTATATATATATAGCGTAGCTATACGTATCATTATATATAAGTATATTATATGTAAGTAGATACGTGTATAGATATAATCTAAGTATATAAAAAATGCATGTATAACTATGTAATACGTATATATAAATAATTATATTTATATGTTTATATACTTATAACCGTATACTTTAAGTGCATACCTATATACCATATAAGTGTATAAGTATATATATTTACAACTATATACATATAAGTATATAAGTATTAATATACAAACGTAATACATGTATAGTTATGAATATATATAATTATAAGTTACCAAGTATGTACTTATAATTATATACTTATATTTATACTTATAGTATATATATAAGCATATGCATATATGTAAATACGTGATACTTGTATGTTGTATATTTAGCTATAGTTATATACTTATATATGACTATGTACTTATAATACTTATAAGTTAAATCTTTTTGCAAAAGTTCTTATGGAATTTTACAAAAAAACAATTCACAAAAAATTAATCCAAAAAATTACAAAAATCTAATTTGTATTGCTTTTTTATTAAAAAACACAATTTTTAATTTAAAGTTTAAAAAATTAAAAAATAAAACAGGGTCGACCTGTTAACCAGCCCAAACCTAGACCTGGACACGACGCGATAGCTCCGAGCCTGAGTCTAGGCAGGAAATTGAACCTGGCCTAGACCTAGTGTTCTGAATCGAGCTGGGTCGAGCTAGGCCAGCCCACATGGACAACCCTATACTTGCTTTTTATGGAAGAGGAGCAGAATGTTCCACACATTAGAGCACAACAAAAAGAACATGAGGACAGCTCTGCATCACTATAGTTGCTTTACTTGATGGTGAAGGTATATTTGCATGGCATCCCTCTAGCTTTCTGCTCGACCTAAATGAGAAAAACCTTAAATTTCAAGGAAATTCTTGGTGTTCTATTAAAAAATAAAGTTACTTGCAACTAGACTCCTATGCCATTGCCCAATTATAAAAAGATCCCTTATATTCTATTGTTGTAGCGACCTTGTGTACCATCATCCATGTTAATAGACCCTTGTGAAATTTTTTTAAACACCCAACGAGGCAAGATCCAGACAGAAGAATCTGGATAACGAAGGGGTATAGAAATGAGGTGTTGCTGTTCGGGAAGCAAGATGTCATGAGGAGTCACTGTGGATCGTCTATGAACCGTTTGATGGCTTGTGGGTATGAGCAAACATGTAAGAGGGCCCAGAGCTGGATTCTTGCAAAATCCCCTCAGGGCCCGTTTGGATCTGGTATTTTGAAGGGGAAAGGAGGGGGAAAGCTGCCAATTTGTCAGCTTTTTGGCAGCTTTCCCCCAAAATCGCCTCTTATAAATGTGGTTTTGGGGGAAAGCTGCTAAAAAACTGACAAATTGGCAGCTTTCCCCCTTCTTTTCCTTTTAAAATACCCGATCCAAACAGCCCCTCAGTCATTCAAGTTGCTCGGCTGTAATAATTAAAAATAGATGACACTATCAAAGAGAGGCTTTGGGCTTAAAAAGGTGAAAGGAGAATGCAAGATTTTGGGGTTCTTTCACCTCTCTTCTGTTCTCTTGTCTTCTAACGGGGAAAGATATCGTGAACAAAATATCGAGTACTTATCGGAAGAAATATTGGAACATTGAATAAATTAATGTTTATCTTTGCATCATGATTGTAGGTAGAAAAGACAAATAGTCCCTTGCTCTACAAAATCAAAGTAAACTGAACAAGGTAAAAGGGTTCTTAAGGAGGACCATAACGCAATTATCAAGTTTAATTGCACCAATATGAAAAATTACAGACTCCAAGTATAAAAAGGGGTTTCCAGAAAAACAAGAACAATTTTTCAAAACAGACCCTTTCAAATTTTTATTTTTCAAAATCGACCCTGTTTTTTTTTATTTACCAAAACCGACCCGTTTTTTTTATTAGCAGCCTAATCACATTCCTAAATAGTCGGGGTTGCCAATACCCCCATTTATTTATTTTATTTACTAAAAATTAAAACTCAACAATTAAAAAATTAAATAAAAAGTCTGAAGATATTCCCGCTCGCGTTACGATTCATTCCCCATTTTGGCGGCACTCCCACTTAATCTCCTCCCGATTATAAATACCCCCCAAACTCCCGAACCCTAACGTTTCCCCTCCCCCCACTCTCTCCCCCTCTCTCATCCTCTTCTTCTTTTTCCTCTCGCCTCGAATTCGAACAGAGAGAAACTAGAAAGAGGAAAAAAATGGGAGAGTGCTTCAACGGCGACGGCAATATCTCGTTCTCGCAGGAGCAGAATCCGGCGGCGG